CAAAAAAAAAAAAAAAACACATCTTAGTAAAACCAATACCTTCTCAGCTTCGCATCGAAGCTAAAAGATTATTTATTAAACATAATTAATTATAATAAGACGAGTTAAATTAATATAACTTCTGCAGAGGCGTGTCATTAAGGGGGTCCATGGACGTTTTAAACAAAAATAATTATATGTGTTTAATTTCATATTCCAAAACCTTAAGTAAACCTAACTAATAGTAAACTGATCAAAAAAGTTTTTTATTAATTTTATGAAAAATGTTTAAATATGGTTACACTTGCAGAAGTCATGCAAGATCAGAACAAAAAATAATATAATGCACCTTCATTTAAATCGCCCACATCATGGTATACTTCAGACACAATTAATGAGTACATTAAAATGATAGTAAAACGGTCAGAAGGTGAAGTTTATGCAATTATCACTGATTTTATTGTAGCGTATCTTCGAGGAGGTTATCCAGCTGTAAGAAGATGGATAAAAAAAGATATTCACACAATAAAATTACTTTTTGTGCCCATGAATGTATATGAGAGTCATTGGATATTGACAGTGGTTAATATACCTGAAAAGACTGTGACACATCATATGATAGTCTTAAGTCGTATGAGGGTCCCTATACAATGGTATTAAAAAATTTCTTAATTGAATGGGAGATGGACAAAAAAGGAAAAGCTTCTACATGGACATTACAAATAAGCGAGACATCTCGCCAAACCAATGGATATGATTGTGGGCCATTTACTGTTGAGCTGGCAGAAAAAATGTCTCGAGGAGATACAACACCAATAAATGCAAATTTTATGCCTTTAATAAGATTAAGACACAAAAATGAAATTATTGCTGGACCGCTATTCTTAGTATATTCTTATGAATGAAATTTTATTTTTGTATTTTATATCAATTTTCTTAATATTCACTATAAATTGACATTTTTATTTGTATACTACCAAACATTTTTTTACTTTTTATATGTTTAATTGTTGTTTTTTTTTTTTATTTTATATTAAACTTATTTTTCTTTGAAATATTATTTCATTAAAGAAATTAAAATTTAATATAAATTTATCATAACTGAAGTAATTTAATGTTCTTGTTATGTGAATATACAAATATTATAGTATACAGTTATGGATATAATTAAGTTAAAAAGTCAGCCAATTATAAATTTTTTTGTTTCTTAGAAGTCGAAAAAATAACTTTAAAATTAGAACTAGCTAAATTTCCATTTTTATTAAGTGACGAATGAGACGTACGGTTTTTGAGACGGTAACACTTAGGTCTTTCACAACTGTGGCACTGAATTTTTTTTAAATTCTTTTTGAGTTAAAAAAAAATGTTTAACTCATTTGATTTTTATCTCATTTAGATTCAATAACTTCAATAAATATCAAGGATTCCATTACTGTAGTCTCCTCTCGTGAGAAGAAATTCATATTAATATTATTTTTCTATGTGGTTTTTTTTTTTTTTTGTAGCTATCATTTATTTTCTCAGCTCTCATTTGACCTACTTTTTTAACAAATTTTTTTTTTAAATTAAACACTATCTACAGATTTGCATCGAAGCGTTTCTTATGATAGTGATTTTAATCACTGTCAGATTAAATCTATACTGGACCCAACTATGCAACGTCCCCACTGTGCTGGGTCTTTTTATATTGAAACCTTAGGTTTTTCCTTTCATTTGATATCATTTTTTTTTTTGAAAATCTAACACTTATTCTGCTCACAGGGGGGATTAAAATAGCAACTTTTTTACAAAAACTAACTTTTTCAACTTAACTTTTGAAAATGTTCCGGAAATACTGCGTCCCTTAAACATATGTCAAATTAAAGCTTATTTTATGTACTATAAAATGAAAAAAAAAATTTGTCCCGACGACCTATCTTCTATGCGCAAAAGGCTCCCGTATTCAATAATATGCTATTTTTTTATTAAAATTCTGGGTTTTGTATTTCATTTTATTTAAAAATATCTTATTAGGTGAATAAACTGACTTTCATGAATATTATATAATTTCATTGACATAGAATAAAGTTCATAAGACACAAGAAATTAAACTTATTAATTTTTTTTGCTTTTTTAAAGTCGAAAAAGTAATTTTTAAATTTGAGTTAGCTTAAATGGCCAATTTTATCATGTGCCGAAAGCAACTAACAATTGTCGAGTCGGTAACACTTGTGTCTTTCATGCTAACAGTACGAGGTTCAAATCCGTCTGTGGCAACTTAAACTTTGAATTTTTTTTGAGTTAGAATAAAATTTTCAAATCATTTGATATTTATCTCATTTAGATTCAATAACTTCAATAAATATAAAGGATCCTATCACTATAGTCTCCTCTCGTGAGAAGAAATTTATATTCATGTTAATATTATTTAACTATGTGGTTCTTTTTGTGGTTACGATTTATTTTGCCAAACCTCACTAGACCTACTATTTCAACGATACGTCAAATGATTACAATTCGTATTTAGTTTAAGTTATTACTCTTAAAAATCGAAAAAATATTCCTTATTCAAATAAAAAGTAGCTTAACCAGCTTTTTCCTTAAAATCAATTAAAAACATTAATTTCTATTATTCTTAAAGTATTTATTGTCGAATTAAATTTGATATGATAAAAATATTCAACTACAAAAGTAAATAATTTTACTTTGTAATTTATTAATGTTTTAACTCAATTTGTGTGAGCTGCTACCAGTTTATAGTATTCCGAATTTTTTTGTAACTTGTTGCTTGCTATATAAATCATAAATTTAAAAAAAAACATTATTTTTAGTTTCACCTGAATTTAATGGTAGATTTTTACAATTATAATCAAAATTTATAATTCGCTCAATTGAGTAGATCTTTTTAACAACTTTTTTTTCATTAGTTTTTTTAGATAAAGTGAATCATTAAGATTAATTAAGTTCTGAATATTTCCATTGTAGAATCTTTTTAAACACCAAAAGTTAATTAGAAACGATTACTATGATTTTTATTTAAGTGATCTATTACAATAAAAATGTAAAAAAAAAATCGAACTTTCCTGATAAATGTACTGTAAACTGTAATTATAAAATTCCCTGATGGCATATTAATCTTAACAATTTCATTTTTTTCTATTTAATAATGTCAATTTCAAACTTGCAAGTTGAGCTACATGTTATGGTAATAAATTCATTTTTTTTTTTTTATTAAAACTTTAACTTTAAAGGACGATAAAAAGTAGGTTCAAAATGATTACTTTTAACATATTAAAAATCAAAATCAAGAATAATTTGAAAAGAATTAATTTAAAAAATTATATAATATATAATTAAAAGAATTACTAATCTGGGTATAATTAAGGAAATAGAAGTTGATGTTGCTTTTGTAATTATCCATCAATTTTTTAAGATTAAACACTATCTACAGATTTGNCAATTATCCATCAATTTTTTAAAATTAAACACTATCTACTGATTTGCATCGAAGCGTTTCTTATGATAGTGATTTTAATCACTGTCAGATTAAATCTATACTGGACCCAACTATGCAACGTCCCCACTATGCCGCAACCCCACTGTGCTGGGTTTTTTTTTAAATACTATTTTAATTATAAAAAATTCTTTTCTGTATTTTTTATGAATGCGGTATATTGAATAGGGGTAACTAAACTTATTTGTTTATAATTCTCTAAACTGATAAACTATAAAATAAATTTAAAAATGAACTACAAGTTCAGAATATTTCCATTATATTTTTGATACGGGTATTTTTGTTATCTAAAAGATCCAATGAAATCCAAATAATTTCTAGAAATCTCTGATAAAATGTAGATAAATACGTGTCATCGAATCCTATCAATTAACTTCATTTTTATTATTTATTTAAAATACCATTTATTTTATAGTAAAATAAATATAGTATATTATAAAAATAAAGTTAATACCAATATATTAGGCATTTTTTTTTAAGTCGGGGGGTGTCCTCCATGTCTGGACCCCCCCCCCCCCAAACAAAATACGCTACTGTATATAAACAAATTTTCATTGTTTAATATGAGATATAAACATTTAAAGGTTCAAATTTTTTTGAGTTAATATACATGTATAATACAAAAGGGATTACAAATACAGGTAGATCATTGGTTTTTTATGACGATATTCGCAGGTATTTAGCCTTTATTATCAATAGTAATAAAGCACAGCTGTGAGTTAATAAATACACTAACTGCCAATACAGAAATTATATCTATTGTCGTACGTCATAATTGACTATAAACACTCGGTGAATGTGACAGCGATGTCATAAAATACTAAAAAGTAAAAAATATATATAGTTAAAAAAAAAATTATATATGGTTAAATATGCCATTTTCCTAATTTTTAACATATTAATAATCAAAATTAGCATTAATTTGAAACAATTTTTTTTTGTTCTTAATTATTTTTTTTATATGTAAATACTTATTTTTTAATAATAAGTAATCATATTAAAACTTAGAAGTGATAGAAAAAGTTTAATTGCATACTAGAAAACATAGCGAAAAGTCGATTTAGAAAAGTACATTTTTGTTTTTGATGAAAGTTCCTTGTAGTTCAGTGTATAAAACTTATAACTTTTTATTATAAAAACAAACATTTTTTATTGAAAAGTATTGCATCAAATTCTTTAAATTTTTATACGCGTTAAAAGTAAAGAAATATACTATTACTTTATTATTTTTATAATATCTCCGTAAAAATTACAATATTAAATTATTGAATATCAATTTCATACTAAATTTAATTACTAAAATTGTTATTTATTCATATATTTTAATTATAAATCAATTAACTAATCGGGATAGAATTAAGGGAATAAGAGTTATTGTTGTTTTTGAAATAATCTACCAATTTCTTAAAATGAAACACTATCTACAAATTTGCATCGAAGCGTTTCTTATGACAGTGATTAAAATAACAGCAAGATATCATCTATACTTGTCCCAACTATGCCACGTCCATACTGTGCCGTGACCCCACTGTGCTACCGTTTTTTGTTTTAAATTAGCGTGTATATCTATGCAACACTTTAAAAATATCTAAGTCGATGTATATATTAACTACCGTTATAGGTGATAACGTTACCAAAAAAATAGTACGAGGCGTCAAATTTTGCCCCACAAGACTATATCGAATAACATTTGGTAAGCCTATGCTATCATCGATAACTAAAAAATAACTTTTTCATAATATTATACATTGTGACATTGTTTGATATAATATTTAAATAGTATATCAAATAACAAAATAGATTGCAGTACATACAACTAAAAAAAATATCGCAACGAGTAAGATTAATTTACCAACTCCGACGATAGCCGATTTCCTACTAATTGACCAGCCGATCAGGTGGCGATGTGTCGGCTAACTTTTAGAAGTAGGGATAGACTACATTAATTAATCAGCACTGCAAGTTACAAACAAAAATTTTAATTAATATCTTTTATTAGATGAATATATATTTGATGAGCATGCAAATATCGTGTGAAGAAAGGAGTAGGGTCAGTGTACACACAAATGCCTACTATGAACCAGTTCGACATAGTACAAGCCGACTAACTCGTACGCCCACAAACAAATCACATCTTACCATGATAATGGATAAAAACACAATTTATTTTACTTATCTATTTTTTTCAGAATAAACCCTAATTAGGCTATTGACAATTAACACTATTTTTTAATTGTGTTTATAGAATTTTTAGTTGATATATCTCAACACAACTCTAAAATCTTTGATCAACCAAAAGGGATCAAATAAGAAAAAAATTGTTTGCCTCCTTGTTTCAAATAATGATTTTAAAATTGTATTTTCAGTATTTACATTAAATTTATGTTATTATACGGAACATACAAACAATAGTATTAAAAATTAACAACTAATTACAGTAGAAACTAAGTTTAGTTTTCAGTAACTTAGGTCATTTTTAAGAAAAAATACTATTTGTCAACTATACAATATCTATTGTTATCATAAATAACGGTTTCTTATTTTATCAAATTATTTAAAAGATTTAAACAATTTTAGAAGGGTTTTATCAATCTGAAAAATATTTGTAAATTTTTTATGATTTAGAAAAAATAATATTTTTTGATAATTAAGTTAAATAATTTACAATAAAATACCTTATGACTGTATATTTCACATATGTATTCAATTCAGTTCCTATTGTAATAATATTCTATAATAATAGTAATATAACTAACTTTATAACTAATATATTCATTTATATAAACAAGGTTAAACTGCAAATATCACTCATATCACATTTGCTGTTTAGAACAGCCATAGCCATTTACAATTTTCTTTACTTCGAATCTTCATGAAACATCAAACATTTCCAAACACATAACCAAAAAACAGGCTATTTTCATTTTAGGAGAATTTTCCTTTTTTTATAAATAATATACTATACACAGAAATATACATTAAAATACTTATACAACAATTCAGAAAATAAAAAAATTTTAATTTACAAAATTTGTGCCCTGGAAGAGTTAATGGGTGGGGGTGGTGGGCTGGTGAGATCGTAAGTCTGCATCGCCGCTATGGAAAGTCCATTTCAGCTCTGTTTAACACGTTTCCTTGGAGGTCCTATAGGTGGTATTTGTTGTGTAGCTAGTGCACGAAAAGCTTCAGCTATTAGATGTGGATGTGACTGTATCATAGTTTTCCAACCTGTAGTTTCCATTACATCAGTCGCATGACTAGAAATTACAAATTTAGTTTCAGTTAATATACTTTTCGTAATAAGATCACTTGTGACTAATATTGTTTAAAATTAAAAATGTAATTAACTAAAAAAACTGAGTATAAATACTTAAAACAAACAATGTTGTTCTCATGAGTACTGAACATATGCTAACAATATATATTTCATTTATACTACCCGTAATTTTACTTACGTATTAATAAACTCAATTGTTTGAACTTTAAGTTGATCAGCACTATGAAGGTCAGCAAGAATTAATATATCAGCAGCATTATCTACAGACAAGTTGTTGCATAAAGCTTCTTCACACATTACTTTTAGCCTTTCCAAAGCATACTAAAAATAAACAGATTTTGTTAAGTTATTCAAAATTAAAATTTATAAGTTTTTTTACTTTATCTGCAGCTGCTAGAAGATCGTCAGCCATTCTTTCTAAATTGGCAGCTCGGCCTGTATATATAAACCGAAGCATTTCCCTTAGAACTTCATGGTCAACATCAGTGATTGCTACTCGGTTTTGTTTTCTTTCTTCCATTTCGTGTTCAAACATAGCAGCAAACACAGGACTTCTTGCTAAAATAAGAATAGATTACTAAGTATTTTATAGAAGTCTAATGACAATGTAATTTACCTGCAAGAATAGCTTTATGAGCTTGAAACTCACGTCCACTAACTGATAATGTCACATCACTAAATTTTTGTACTTCAAATAAATTACCAAGATCATCAGGTAAACGACATTCAGGTACCTTAAATTGAACTGCATTAGATTGGCCCGAAATATTGACACTATCTGCTACAACACTAACCTGCAAACGTGTCATCTATCAAGTCATTACTCATGACACTTATTTAGTAAAATATTAAGTAATATTTAAGAAATTTGTGTTTTATTAAAATACCATAGGAAGTAATTATAATTATTAAATAAAAAATTTTATAGTTTATCATTTAAAATGTATAATAGAAATATTTTTAAATTTAATATATTTATTTTATTTTAGAAGCCTAATTTTACACTAATTTTTTTTTTTTTTATAAAAAAAATTATTAGCTGGCAGTTAATTAAATTTTTCATAAAATATTCAAATAATTGAGATTATTGTAATAAAATTTAATTTAATAGTTATCTAAGTTGATGTAATTTATACAATTCAGATAAAATGGGGTATAATTAGATAGAACTTCAAAAAATTAAAAAAACCTACATAATTGATAAAAATATATATATGTATATACATACATACACATTTATGTATGACAATTTAAGATCTATCAAGGAGATTTTTGGATGTAGCACAATATTGTAATCAATTTTTGAAGTACTTAATGTACTTTAATGCATGAAATATTTATTAATGACAATGATTTCTATCAATATATGCAATAAAATGATTTAAAAAAATATTATAACACAACTCTCTGTTAAGATTCATTTATGGAAATTTGGTTATTATGCCTGTCAGTTTTCTTTTTGTTATTATTAACAATTTAAATTGTTTTACCGTTTTGAAATTTTATGATTAATATCTCTTATTACAGCCAATTTAATCATTACTAATAAATTGAATTTGATTTTTATTCACCATATACTTTTGAAGTTTACTAAAGTTTAAATTTTTTCATTTTAATCACTTCATTATCTCAATTTTTAAAAGTCAAAAAAGTAAAACAATTATTTATTTTTAAAACAGACTTAAGTTAATTTTTCATATCGATAAATTACCTCGCAAAATATAGTAAGTTTATCATCTGGTAAAAGGCCATTAGCTTCGTCTAGCAGAAAATCACGTCTGATAAACTTTTTAAATCCCCAATCTTTTCCTTGTACAAATCTGTAAGCTCTTTGGCTTTCTATAAACAATAAATTAACATTCACTGTTAAACAATTTTTTCATTCAAAAACATTTAATCAATAAAAAAGTTGTGAATAATAAAAAAAAAAGATATATAAATAGTAATTTATTCCTAGTTTATGATATATTGAAGATCTAAATATTTCATTAAAGAGATAGAATGATGAAATCATTTTTTTATGATTTATCTCTAAAAATTTAGTCAAAAAATATACGATATTTTGTAAAAAAATCGGTGTAATATACTAAATATACCAACAAAATAATCATATAAATTCTGACACTAAATTTATATAAAAGCAATAACTTACCCATAGCCTTAGTTTCTTCACGTTTAGCGTTCAATATAGAAAATTTAAATTTTGCTCTGACCTCAGTCTTATTACATGAGACTAATAGTAAGTACAAAGACAAGTAATCTTTACTTTCTTCGTCTAAACCTTTAGGATTAACTCGTAAACACCTAAAAAATAATAAACATAATATTAATTGTAATATATTTAATTTAAAAAATATATAATATTAATATTATAAAAATAATATTCTATATTTGTTATAAATTATTTTATATAACTAGAATCTGAGTTTTTAAGTTCAATCATTAAAACGATAGTAATACAAATGTGATTTAAATATTGCTTCCAAATTAACTATATGCGAAAGTTATTTGTTTTATTCAATAGATGATAGTATTAAAATAATCAATTTTATTTGATTAACTGAATATACTGATAGTCTTTTAAAAAAAAATGAATGTATATATTAAAATAAAGCATTAACGAAACAATATATCAACTATATACACACTTGTGGTAAAAAGCCACAAGGGCACTACCGCTCCCCTTTGATTGATATTTTTTTTAAGAAATGTAACAATTGATTGTGAATATAATCAATCAGTTGATAAGTTTTTTAATTTTTTATTATCCGTGGTAATATTTGATAATATTATATTATATTGAGGAAAATTCAACACCCAGTAGACTTATAATAGAAAAGTTTTCACATATTGCTAATTGATACGTTGAATTTAATATTTTTTGAGGTGTTTAATTAATAGCAAAATACGGTGATATTTTTTTAATTTAATCACTAAAAAAGTATTTAAATAAGTCAAATTTTTAATTTGATCTTATCCACAATGCTGAATTTTTTTAACTCAGCATGGTAGTGGAATGCGACATAGTAGAAACAGGTATAGATGTTATCTAACTGTAATTAACATCACTATCATAAAAAATGCTTCAATGTGTACTTTATAAATTTAAAAAAAAATTTGTATACTTGTAATTTTAAAATGTCTTAAAATATTAAAGGCTTGACAAAACGTTAGGACGTTTTTTTTTTATCATAAAGTTTTAATTTAGCTTTTAAATTAAAAGCTTTAATTTGATGTAAACTTCATGAATGCAAATGTTCCATAACATTTTCAAAATTGAGTTTAAAATTTTTTTTTATTGTATGTTGTCTCTTTAATACCTTTACTGTATTTAGGTTTTTCGTTAGATATTTATAAGTAGCATATCAAAAGTAAACTATTAACTTAAGTATTTTCTATTAAAATTTAATAAAGATTCAGCTGTTTTTAAAACATTTACTGTAAATTGTAATTTTGGCGTTTGTGACAAATGCAGAATTTTAAGATATTTTTTTTAATTTACAATTTTTGAAAGTGATATCTTCAAATAGATAAAATTCGAATTCTCTTAACTTATATCATCAAAATGTACCCAGTGAGAGTTGAAAATATTTATGGATAGACAAAATAAAAGAAGAACTACATGATAAAACTAATAATTTCTCAGTTTCGAATTAAAACTAAAATGATTGATTTTTTTTTCAAAATAGCTTTTTTAAATTTATTTTATTTAATAAAATAATTTCTCAATACATTTTTCAAATATGTGTGTGGGTTTTTTTGCTTCTTTTTTCATTTTTATGCAACAATTTCAACAAAAAAGTTATGAGCAAATAATAGTTATCTCAATTTATGGTACCTTATAAGTGAAAATATTTTTTTGTATCCCATCATATTTTATAATATGCATCTGGTTGATACCATAATTGAAATTGATGTTTCGATTATGTCGGTATAATCTATACTATTGCAAGTAAAAAATAACTAATGGATAGCACTACCATTTATATACCTCCATATAGTTGATAAGAATAAAAATTAATTAATAGACTAAAAGACTAAAATATCCGAATTCTAATTTTAGTAAATAATTTTAAATCTTCACTAATATTAGTTTAGAATTTAAATAATTATTCGCAAAAGTCGTACCATTTTAATTTGTCATTGACTCCTGCGGAGAAGGTAGATGATTTTAATACTTCTCCCATTTCTTCTCGACAAAAACTAAAATTATTTATTGTCCACATGTAACTGAACTTAACAACTTTTACCTATAAAATAAATAAAATTTATATAACAATTATAATAAAGACAGTATGTATTTCAGTAATATAATTTAAACTAATATTTTAAAAATAATTCTTCTTTGATTTAAGGAGACTTAGGTGATGTATGCAATATCCTTAGTTTAAGCCTACAATAGACTTCTATATTTCAATAACATAATTTTTTTTTAAATTTTTGTAGTTAAAATATCAAAATTAACACATTATTCCTAATAAATATATTTAATATAAATATGAGGAAACATCAATGTGCAAGATTTTGAAGTTCATATTTGTAAGTACATTTATAAGTGTAAATATATACAAATATAGTCGCTATTACTGTTTAAGCAAAGCATATTAACTACTAATCAAAAAATACCTTAATAACAATAAAAAATCACGATGTAAGAAAGTTCACTTGATTATAATTGTAGACGATTAAAAACTAGTCATAATTTCATTAGTAGATTTAAGTTCAGAACCAAAAGATCGTTGTAACGAGGAATATATTTTATTAATAAACATAGTAGTAATGTTATTACGATTAGTTAAAAAATATAATATGGTAGCAAAAATAAAAAAATTTTGAATTCCCAGAATTTTTTATGATTTTCCAATCAATTAAAAAAAAATTCCATACTAGACTTAAGTAGCGAAGGGATACATTATTTATATGAGGGTGTCTGATTTCATCAACTCCAATCCTATTTTTATTGCTGTTTGCCAACTGGAAATTTGAAAATAGACGGAGTTCAACTTTAAAAACGCCTCTTAATCTACCCCTTTTAGTATAGAGTATTTTGACTTAAGTGACAACGTTTACAAAATTTTAATACAATCATCATTATGTTTTTTTTTTTTTTAATAATTACGCCTTCTTAATTACGTTAAGTCATATATATATTATTTGGCATTAATAAAAAATATTGATGGGTCATGAGTTACAAAAATTTAATATATATAGTGATCATTGAACTCGTGTAAACCAGTATAAGCTGCATTCGCCCTCACTGAATAAAAATTTCTTGTGGCACAATGAATCGTACTGGTCCTAAAACAGTTACTCAAACGGCACTGGCCATTAAAAGTAAATTGGTAAATATTTATTTACCATTGAAATATATATATATATATATATATATATAAATATACAGAGTGGAACAGATCTAACTGAAAACTCATATCATAACATATATGATCTACGTAACATTATATATCTATATATATATATATATTTTTAATTAATTCTTACAATATAGGACTATATTTAAAATGTGTTTCATATTATTTTTTGTAATTACAAAAAAAATAATTTTTTTAAGATTTGAAGATAGACATTTTATAGATACGTTTTAAAGTAAAAATTTGATACTCTTATTTTAATTTAGTCGTTACGTTTCAACAGCATTTTGAAGTTTGTTACATTTTGAATCTTTTTACGATTTTTCTATAGTATTAAATGTTAGTCCATATTGAAGGACGGAAGTAAACACTATATTATTTTACGTTATACCACTATGACTAATAATTTCTCCGACCATATTAAAATCTCCTAACTTTTCAAGGTATTCCAAACTTGTAACAGCCATGTATAGTACAAATTATGAGAATATTTAAAATTCTTTACATTAATACTAGACTATCGTTACTTCGATGAATATAAATAAAAATAAATTTTGGGCGATTAGGAAAGAGATGTACAATAAAATAACACACTACAGTGTGCCCATTTTCAGAAAAAAATCTCTTAAATAGTCTCTCTGATTTGGAGGGATATAATAATTGTATCATACAGAGTTCCAAAATTCAACACGGATCAGCGACCTTGAAAGAACCGCACAAACAGCAGTACTGGTCGGCGACAGTCGGGGTCATCCTCCGCTGAGCATACATCGTACAGCTCCACATGCAAGACGAATGTTATATGTAGTGCGCTTGCGCGTAGCTGGGAGAAGAACTCCGGTCAACGACCCCCATCCCTAGCGTTTTTTTGTTTGGTCCATTATCTATGCAATAACTTGAGTCCAACGTACTTATCACAAACCACTACAGTTGACTTTACCGAGCGCTGCGACACAATTATAGGCGTCCGTAAGAAGAGGTGCCGGAAAAATATATTATTATAGTGTATATGTATTGGATTTAGATGCTTTCTTGTAACGAAATTCATAAAGAAGAAAGCGAAATAACTTTTAAATCACTAACACAATGCAAAGCGACACATATCTCTGACTTACAACAGAACCCATGGAAATCATAAAATCATGGTTGTCTTTTCTAAAAAAGACCAACTCTGTTGCAATCCAAGAAAAAGTAGTCTTCTTGAATTGGAACAGATTTTTGGATTATAAATAATAAGAATATCGGTACGGCATCGCATCTTTAATTATTACTTACAAGTAACGCAGAGAAAGGTCAATAGCCGTAGACAAGTCAGGGGTTCGTAAAATGTAATATTACTAGAAATGATTAACAGTAGATATTTTCACGAAAAAAAAACAAAATCAAATATATTTTTCCGCTAAACTATAAAATGCAAACTCGAGGTTTAGATGATCGTAGTGTCGTGAATCTTGATACCATTGAGGTGACCTAATAGAAAGTGGGTAAACTTTTGAACTCGAACTTTTGGCCTTTCGGTTATCGATATAGTTAACTAGGTTAACGCGGGGCGCGGTTATCGATTGTTACGTCGTGAGGGGGTGTAGAAGCCTGCAAAGCGCAAAAACAGCTTCGCTCTCGTTGCTGTATCTCGTCGGTACACAGTAGGAAAGAATAAAATTAAGATGGGCAAAAGCTATTTTTAAAAATTAAGTAAAATTGACATCTGTAATAATATATTATATATACCTATATATATATCACAAAAACAATAAAAGATTAGATTTTATAGGTTTGTTTCTCAATATTTAGGGTTATAACAGACTAACGAACGTTTAATTCACTTGTTTTTTTAAATTCACTTTATTTTATAGAATTATAAAGACCTGAGTTATATTCGATTTTTTTAAATAAAATTTAATAATTTAACTAAAATTTTGAATAAGAAATATTTTTTTGATTAAGAAAATTGAATGTAAGTTTAAAATGTATGCGAATTTCTGCTGTTAATATTTTATTTGAATATTAAAAATACATTTTGAGACAATTTTAATGGATATGAGTTTTAAAATGTTTCTATAGTATAATTTATTAGCAAGATCTCATCTTTTGAACAATACAATTTTGACGTGCGCCATTCTGTACTATTATTTACCACGGTTTGATTTGTAGTTGAATAGAGTGATAAAAATAATAAGAATAATCCGTTTATCATAATTCACTGAATTACTCGTAAAAAAAAAAAATTGTTCATATTTAATTTTATTTCATATCATTTTAAATTATATAGCTTGACAAAATTTTTCATAAAATGTTTATGAATTTTTTATCCGATAGTATTTTTGATGCAGATTCCGAATATGCTTTTAGTTTGTTCTAAGATCAATATTTTAGCCACAAATTTCTTTGTGTGTAAGATTACTGTTTTTCACATTAAACGTAAATTAAAAAAAAATTTCAACGCCCCTAAATTACGTTTATAGAATCGTGACGTGCAAATTTTGAATTTTCATCTCATGAAGTTTCACCTTTGATATGGACTTTTGAAATTGAGCAATAATGTGCAATGATACAGCAAAAAGTGAAAAAAGATATCAGGAGACTGACAGATCTAAACTATGATGAATGTGTGGAATTTGATTCAAAATAATAATGTGATAGTAATAATAATGTGATGACCTTTTTAAAACTCAATTTTTTTTTAATTTACATTTAATGTGAAAAAAACTAATTGTACCCATATTCAAATTGTGGCTAAAATATTGATGGTAGAGGAAAACTATAAACATATTCGAAATAAACGTCGAAAAACCTATAGGAAATTTTTTTTTTATAATCATTTAAAATCTCAAATTTTGTGTCAAGTTGTGTTATTATCTAAATTACATAATTAATAATACAAAGTATTACATAGGTTATATAATACTTTTTATTTTTAAGTACATCCCTTATTATGTCATGTAAAAGTTCAATTTTATTTTTTCAAATAGAAATATGTAGTTTCAATTTTTTATTTAATTAAAATTTATTATTTTTATTTTATAGCGTTGGAATTTTTCATTAAACTTAAACGGTTTATCATTTGTGACATTTTAAAGTTTCGATTTTTTTTAATTACATGTATAATATACGAGGGATTTCAAATACAGGTAACTTCTAGCTTTTTTACATCGTTACTATTCATAGATACGCAGCGGTTACTGTCAGTTACAGTACTATTTAGTGGTATTACCGAGGGGATTATAAGACACAGAGTTGCAAATAAAAACTTAAAAATAAACATACAATTCTTTCAAAATCATGCTATCTACAGATTTGTCAAAGTTTTAGTAAAATTTAACATTATATTACACTTTGTTTGAAATTGTTGTTTTGTTAAAAAAATTATTTTTGGCGTCATAAATAAACTAAAAAATTCGAAACTATAAAATGTTATATGATAAATATATAATTTCTACTACATACATTTATTTGTTTACATAATAATTATATAAATAGATAATATATTTAATAAACGGACGTAGTTATGTTAAAAAAAACTCCATTTAATATAAAATAAAAAAACTTAAACATTTTATTAAATTCTTTAATGCAATAATAATAATATAAAAAAAAACATTGTGACATTTTAGGAAACATAAGAAATGAACTTAAAAAGTGTTACATAGCTAATAATTTAAGAACAATATGTAACTAAAAGTAACCTAAAAAAATGTTAAAATTATTTTCATTCTGAAAGTAATTGTATGGGTTGTGATCACCTGGTAGACGGAATATTTCAGATCTAACTGACACACTTATAACTTTTAATACAATTATTATTTTGTTGAAAATGTTTTCAAATAAATATTGTTTTCTATATATATTTTTATTATTTATCACTAATAAGAAAAAATTAAAAAAAAATATTTTTTAATTTTGAAATTGCTATATTTAAAGCAGTTTCATAATTTTTTTTTTTTATGTTTATTGATACATTATTATATTATAACATAATTATTAATGATAATAATCTTGACAACAACCACTTACAGAAGACAGCGTTTACGGAGATTGAAATGATGGGCCATTGAACTAATGTGATAAGCTGTTAAGGCCTTGCATACATACTTTAACTGTTATCAGAGGGTAAGGAGTTAAGGACGTTAACCCAGAGTTCGTCATCAAACCCGCTGTAGTCACGGTGCATGCGTTTTAGACGGCGGGCGGAAAGCGTTTGTGTAACGGCAAAGTCTTTTCTTTAAATTCACTATAATTTGCGATGCGAATAATAGGTGGGCAATAGAGGACAACGACACGCGCAAATAATATACAAGCGCTCTTCATATTATGTAGTGCGTGGTCAGAAAAAATAGCAACATGAATAGAACAGTGTGATAATTATAATCAGTTGTGTTGTGTGTGAATATTTTTACATTAATTGAACGGAAACATAAACCGTATTTCAGTACTGTACTTTCAAGTCGTGTCCTCTTCTGTCGCGTACCGTAATACATATTATACGGCAAGTAACAATGACCTCTTAATTATTTAGCTTTGCATGAAATGATTATTCAAATAAATCGAAAGTGAAGTATTTTAAAATTGAATGTTAATTAATTGTTAATAGTACAGTTATAATGATAGGCGTAACTAGAAATTTGAGTCTACGTGGGTTGAAGTTCCACCTTTTTTGAGACCTATGTAATGTCACACCGAGTCCTAAGTATGCATTGTTAAGCAAAANAAAGTGAAGTATTTTAAAATTGAATGTTAATTAATTGTTAATAGTACAGTTATAATGATAGGCGTAACTAGAAATTTGAGTCTGCGTGGGTTGAAGTTCCACTTTTTTTGAGACCTATGTAATGTCACGCCGAGTCCTAAGTATTCATTGTTAAGCAAAAAAAAGAAGGACATCATTTGTTGGTTATAATTTTACAACTCACCTGTGTATAACACCAATTTTCCGCCACAGGTGTATTCGCCTCTGATGATGGAGGCGGGCTGGGCACCCGAGAGACGGACATGGTGCTGCTGCTTGGAGCGCCGGCCACGACGGCGGCCGCAGCGGCAGCCGATGCGGCCGCACTCACTGATCCAGAAGATCCCGCCGCTACCGACACTCTGGCTGTCTGCTGCGGCGAGCACTCACTCACCACGGGCAGCCTAAAAAAATAACAAACGAGTCAATATTATTTATGTACTATAAGGTACAATTGGCTGATTATCAACAAACTTAAGAGCGTACAATTAATTATATGCATTGTTAGGTTTTTGATCAATCAAAAATCTTTCGTGGTCATTTGACTAGATTTCGACGTATCAAATAGTCAAATTCGGTAAAAAAAAAAAAAGATTAACTATTAATCTTCTTTTATTTCAAATGTAAAATGGAAAATTTAGTAATTTTTCCTAACTTGGAGTGTTCTGTTAGATTTAGAAAAAATAAAGTTGTGTTATAGTTTATAAGTGACTAAGTTTTAATAGTAAACTCAGTTAAGTTACTAGTTACTTCAAATAGTAATAATAACTTTTTTAACTAAGTTAAGTTATCTAATAGACATTTTTGCTATTTATACAAAAAGTTAATTTTTATATACATGTTTAATATTTTTATTGCTGTTAGCAAACAGTCTAATAACTTTACGCGGAGTCCGATTCATGTATTCTTTTCATTACTTTATGTATCTCAGGAAAATTTTATTTTATTTCATTACTATACTAAATAGTCTATTAATCAAAATGAATTAATTTAATTAAATTTATTAAAAATAAAACCGAAATTACTTATAAGTTATCTAGTCAAGTTAACGTCAAATTAACTTAATTTTCATAAAATAACGAATAAATGTGCAAATGTACAACCATACTTTCTTTAAAATGTAATTGTAATTTATAACGTTTGTGACGTTAATTCAAGTTGTCTATTATGCATTTAATTATAAAATAATAAAAAATAAAAAATGCGATTGTGTTTTGTAAGATTATTCAAATTCATTTCGATAAAAATTCATTAAAAGCTAAATAGCGCGTCTGTTTAGATTAGATTTCGAAAATAAATATTTTATTATAAAAAATAAATACAAATAAACTTTTCTGTGAAAATTAACAGACATATAAAAACGATTTCGTCAATAAAAAAAAATTAGCTAATACATTTTTAACGAAAAATGGTAAACGACAAGGTGGCATACTTCATACGTCAGATAAAAAGTTAATTGATGTAAATATATATATTAACATTTTCCTAATATTAATTTATATATATATATATATATACTGAAGTATTTCTTGTATATCGAGCAAACTAAAAAAATAAGAAATCTATAAGAACTATGTTATATTAGACTTAGTTGGTGCAATAAACAAAAAGTTATATAATAAATAAATGGATCGTGAAAAATGTTAATTTGTCGTCCGTTTGGGCGTTGTGAAAACTCAATAATTTCGAAATCTGCTATATGATATTAAAGTTTCAATGATTTTGTTTAATCAAAATTAAATCTATTGGTAAATATTCAACAACACTTCATATTAAAGAGCTGAATTAAAACAAGAAAAATTGTTAAATGAATTTTCTACGACTTTAAATAGAGCTCTTTACATATATCAATTGTTACAATCTGTAAATAGAAAAATGCATTTAACACTCAGTGTTCTTTCTATAGTTTATTCTGCTCCTTTCTTTTACAATTATTTTTTCTTATTGTCCGCGTGCCAGCATTTAATATTTCTCCTACTTGAACTGCGGCGCAAATATATTATTTCGGAGGCAGACCTGTAGGATAAAAAATAGTAATATTGGTCTTGGTCCAGGAGTCGTTAACCTCTCATAACGAACAAACACGCGTGAGGAAAAGTAGGAGGATGACATCCAGATGAACCGGTCGGTCTTTGTCCGCCGCCGAAGCCACGCGCCCGGTCAAAGACATCAGGACAGCGGCTATCTCGCTCAAGGATGAAATGAGCACCAGAGGATATCTAATGGGTTCAAGAACGTACATTCTTAAACTCCAGCGGTCATAGAAAAGCTGTAGACAGTCACCGAAAATAATAACAAATTCTTAAACACGTTGTGTCAAAATAGTATCCATAGCACACTCTTAGAATTAGAAGTAAATAAGTATTTTTCATTACTCTATTTTTTAACCGGTCAAATATCAAGACACGTCTATTATATTATAATATAATAAATAAACAGCATGTGTTATCGAACAATTATTTGATAAAAATAGTTGTATAAAAAAGTTGAATTATCAAAATTAACTCTACCGTTCTTTTGGGTAATAATTTTAAAAATTGGAACTCAAGTGGAGAGACAGTAGTCTACAAATAATTTTCTAAACCGTTGTTTGAGACACATCACATTAACTTCAATTTGATCTATGCCATTAGTCACGCTGATATTATAGCTTTTGTATATAATATTACACCTTTTTATATAATTTAAATTGATCAATTAATGTACAAGATAATTTCTAGAAACAAAACTTGTGACGGCATCACGAACAGGAATGCATAAACAAAATCAGAAAACAGATTATGTAAAAACTAAAGAAACGTTATAGAGAAATTCAGGAAGAAGTACTGACTGCGTTCCTGAGTTTTAGGTGAAATCAAGGGGGGCGCGCATCGTTGTAGTTGTCTAATAATTATTGTTATACGTGAGCCGCGGTACGCCTTTCTATAGAAAGCGACGGATCACGAAAAATCGTCTGCCATGGCGTTAACGACTTCTTTTTAGAAATTTCGGGTCAAAATATCCAATGTGTAAAATATACGTGGAAAAAAACTATATTATAAGTTTCTTTATTGTTGGCAAATATTTCTAGAACAGAATACCGTGAACGTTGAAGTGGATGTACAAAATTATTTTTAAGTACGTATATCTATTTACGGAAGTATAAATCTCATTCGTGTTTGTATTTGTAAATATATATATATATAAATTAGTCAACTTTGAATATTTATTTACTTGTATATTTATGAATAACATTTAATTGTATTGATTTATTATCTTCTCGATAAAAAAAGTAAAGTACCTTCGTGAAGTATTACAAAAAAATAAGTTATAAAAGTCGAATTTTCGCGACCGGTAGAGCTGAGATCGGTTATCGTTTCCGTTATACGTGGACATTAGCACAACGACATGCCGTTATTTACGTTACCGTCGACCGACATGCTCGTGGTCAGTCTCGTCTTTCTCCCATACATTTATCATCACTTGAAACAAGTAGTGGTACACATACATTATAAGTATTTGAAATGCATGCGAATTCGAAATCAGATTAACGGTGCAAAACTGACGAGTACAACAACCTGTCACACACGAACCGTCATTCTACACGTCTGTATCCAGTAACAACAGCAAAAACGGAGCAGTCTAACAGCGTTTATTATTCATAACTTTGATGGTACTAATAACTTTGATAATATTTGAAAACGATATCCGTTCAACAGAACTTTCAATTGCAGACAACGTTTAGAAAATCTGAGAAGGAATAAATAAACTAATATTCTAGAGCAACTCTAATTTTTAAGGACGTTATAATTAATAAATAATATTACAAAAGTAAATCGACGAACGACAGAGAAATATGGTAACGAACTGATCTAATAAAATATGTTTAGAGAATTCAAAATTTGCGCTTCACAAGCGCTGTCCTATCGTTTCCCGTGTTAAACATTTAATTTGGTACACTAACGGATGTTTCATAAATTTTAATTAGGTTTTTTGGTTATCTATGTTGTTAATGTATGTGTTGATAGAAAACAAAACGTTACACTGAGTTAAGAGTTTTTCAGTAAAATGTTATGTTATTACCTTAAAGAAAAAAAAATCGTAGACAAAAACGTCATATTCTTAATATTTCAATTTCAAATAGACAATATTAATTTGTATTAGGTAGTTAAAGGATAATTTTAATACTATCATATCAGAAGGGAAAATGAATGAAGGAATAGTATTATGGTGTCCATATTTTTGAAGGTAAAGAAAACATACAGGAGGATGGAAATTTTAGAGGTAAGAATATAATGAGTCATAATATGGAGAATTGGAAAAGGGTAATAGATAAAAGAATAAGAGGAAAAATATCAGCTACAAAAAACAGTTTGATTTTTTGCTTGGAAAGTTAACGATGGAGCCAGTTTTTTGTGTAAGACAACTAATAGAAAAGTATTGGGAAAAGAAGAAAAAGCTGTATATGGTATTAAAAAATTTGGAGAAAGCGTATGATAGAGTATCGATAAAAGTTTTAAAGTGGAAATTAATGAGAAAAAGAGTCCCAAAAAGGTATATTAATGTAATAGAGGATATGTATAATGGCACTTGTACCAGGGTAAAAAGTGTAAAAGAATAGTAACAGAAGTTTTTAGGGTAAGAATAGGAGTGTAACGAGTGGAGTGACTAGAGAAGATAGGATTAGGAACGAACATATCAGAGTGAGTATAGGTTTAGCATCAATCGTGGATAAAATGAGAAGAAATAGACCTAAATGGTTTGGTCATGTTATGAGGAGAGAAGAATTGGAAGCTGTAAGAACAGTTATAGAAATGAATGTTGAAAGAAGAAGAGGTAGAGGAAGACCAAAAAAGATACGGAGGCATGTTATTGAATGCTATATGAGGACGGTTGATGTGTACGTAGAAGATGTGGGAGATCTTGTCAAGTGGAAATTTAGGATAAGGGTAGCCGACCCCAAGTAGTTGGATTAAAGGAAAGCAAAAAGAAGAAGACCAGTATTAGAGTTATTAGATAATCATTACATAGTTTTAACTACACGGACCGACAGCGTTCGTTGCACAAAGCGGACGTGTTAATCACACATAAACCACACATAGCTCTTTAGAGGTTTCTATGGTTATTTTTAATATTACCTTACAATGCAATACAAGTAAAAACTTACTAATGTAATTAGTGTAATTGACAATCCAGAGAATTAAAAACAAAAACAAAATTGCCTACATACCCAACTGTTCTATGAATAAAAAATTATATTAATGTTAAATTGGAACAATGCAATATGAACCGGTTGAAGTGACTGCCACTTTAGCGGGTCAAGGAGCTGACGGACTAGGGCGAAAAGAGCGCGTTTGCATACTTTTTTGTTCACATTGTACACACACACACACACACACATTAAATAGCACATGGCCTCGTCGCA